CATTAGCCTCTACCGTTAGATTCTACTATTAGGCTCAACCTTTAGAGTCTACCATTAGCCTCTACCATTAGATTCTACTATTAGGCTCTACCATTATCATCTACCATTAGAGTCTACCTTTAGGCTTAAATTAAACTTCATTGCTGACACAGAGCAGAGGGTAAAACCAGCAGGAAGGCCAGAATCATAACAACTAGCCTCTACCATTATGTTCTACCACTAGGCTCTACCATTAGGCCCTTCCATTCAGCTATACCATTATACTCTAGCTTTAGATTATACCATTATAATTTACCATTAGGCTCTACCATTATGTTCTACCATTAGATCCTACAATTAGGTTCTACCATTAGACTCTACCTTTAGATTCTACCATTAGGCTCTACAATTAGGTTCTACTATTTGGCTCTACCATAGGGATCTACCATTAGGCTATACCATTAGGTTGTACCATTGGGCTCTACCATTAGGCTCTATGGTTAGGTTCTAACATTGGACTCTACCATTGGGCTCGAACATTAGGCTCTGCTATTAGAGTCTACCATTAGCCTCTACCATTAGATTCTACTATTAGGCTCTGCCATTATGTTCTTTCAATAGGCTCTACCATTAGGCTCTACCATTAGATTCTACCTTTAGGCTCTACCATTAGGTTCTTCCAATAGGCTCTACCATTAGTTTCTACCATTACGCTCTACAGTTAGGTTCTACCATTGGGCTCTACCATAGGGATCTACCATTTGGGTCTAACATTGGATTCTACCATTACGCTCTGCGATTTGGTTCTACCACTGGGCTCTACCATTAGATTCTACCATTATGTTTTACCATTAGGTTCTACCATTGGGCTCTACCATGGGGATCTACCATCTGGCCCTACCGTTAGGCTGTACCATTGGGCTCTACCATTAGCCTCTACCATTAGGCCATGACATAAGGCTCTACCATTAGGCTCTACTGTTAAGTTTTACTATTAGGCTCTATCGTTAGGTTCTTCCAATGGGCTTTACTATTATGCTCTACCATTTGATTCTACCTTTAAACTCTACCATTAGGTCCTACCATTGGGCTCCAACATGAGTCTCTACCATTAAGTTCTACGGTTAGGTTCTAACATTGGGCTCTGCCATTGGGCTCTACTATTAGGCTCTAACATTAGGTTCCACCATTAGGCTGTAACATTAGGTTATAACATTGGGCTCTATCATTGGGATCTTCCATTAGGTTCCACCATAAGGTTCTACCATTGGGCTCTGCCATTATGTTCTACCAGTAGGCCCTACCATTAGATTCCACTATTAGGCTCTACCATTACACTATAACAAAGATTTTAACATAGATATGTTTTTATAATCTTTATGTTAAATTATAATCTAAAATATTTCAAAATATATAGATTTTTTTTAGATGTGCAAGATCAATATTTTATCCTTAATGATAAGGAAACGTCATTTCATTTTTCGGTACTACTTTTAGGCTCCACCATTTTGCCTTACCATTACAGTCTAGCATTAGGCTCTACTATTAGGCTCAACCATTAGGCTCTACTATTAGGCCTTACCATTAGAGTTAACCATTACGCTCTAATTTTAATTAGAGATTTCCAAGATCTGGTCCACCACCTACAAACACTGAGAAATAAAACAAAGTTGTTAGAATATAGAGCTGGAACCATGTTAATAAGGAGTCAGTGTTTCTGTAAGGAATGTTTAATATCAGATAACATTTGAACAGAAAGTAGAAGTTGTTGACATAGCTGCTGTGCTGATCTGAGGTCAGACTCCAGCACGGAGCAGGAACACTGGAGACGAGAAGCACTGCTAGATCAAAGAACCAGAAGAGGAGGAGGCTGCTCGGTTACATCAGCACTCACCAGAGTTATAAAAAACACTTCTTCACAGTATAGTTATATCTATGTGTGTCACATCTCAGATGGCACTGTGTAAAACAACAGAACATGGCATGGAGAGGAGCTCAGAGCGGCTGGTTTCTCTCAGTCAGTGGGAGACGAGAGGAGAGTCAAACATCAGACTGAAGCAAAGCGCTAATGGTTCCTCCGGACCTCGGACCTTCGTCTGATGAGGAAATGGAATTTCCTTATCTTCTTTGGCTGGAGTCAAGTTTGGTGCATCGTTCTTCCAAAGAAGAGCCAAAGACAGAGTCCACAAGACACTGAAAACAACTTGGAAAGGATCCAAAAACACAACCTGTTTCCCTTTTAAAGCAGACAGAACCAGCATGAACATGGAGGCAACCATATCACATTATCAGATAATAACAGAAGAAGAAGTTGGCAAATCATAGAACAGAAGCATAGAGAAGTGGAGGAAACTTTTTCAGTCAGAAGTCCATTACACCCAGCAGAGGTCGAAGGTCTAAAGAAGCAGAGCGGTTCCCTCTGCTGTTTAGACCAGTGTCCACAGAGACTGCTCCCATGTCTGATTGTTATCCAACCAATAAAGTGCTTTCAAACCAGCCCGCCCCCATCCCATCACAGTCAGCTTCACCTGTCCGGTCCATGAGCCATCAAAGGTTTAGATGGGAAAGAAAAGAGGAACCATTGAAAGGGTCCATGCAGGCACCAGCAGAGAGCTCCTCTCTGCTTTGGTTCATTTCTTGAAAGGTGTCAGTCTACCTATGTTATGCCAGAAGGTGGTTTTGCGCTTCGGCTCGGCCAGCATGAAGACCTGCTGCTGGGGCAGGGCGGTGGGGAGGGACGGATGTTTCTGACGTAGCAGGAAGTCACAATACGGCCGGGTCACTGCGGGCAGAGAGAGCAGAACATGAGAGGCTGGACCAGCACTGCTGCCTTCAAACACGGACTCTACAAGTGAAGCTCCATCATTTATCAATGAGCAGAACATCCAGAACCACTGGACCCATTTGTTACTTCAAGGCTGGACTATTGTAATTCTTTACTATCAGGAAGTCCACAAACTGTAGTTAAAAGCCTTCAGCTGATCCAAAATGCTGC